GCTTTGAATGACCTGGAATGAAAAAGGCATACAAGAAGTGGGTGACAGCATGTCTGTAATGCCAACAGATCCTAGGAAGTTACGATTCCCATTGTAGTCAATCGAGTCGTCCGAGTTCAATGAGGTGGTACAGATCGATCACCAGAAGATATGTATGACAGACAGTGGCTACAATCAGGTTCTAGTGATGATCGATCACTTCACAAAGTATGCAGAGGCAGTACCCTGCATATCTGCCCCAGCCGAAGAGACATGCAATCATTTCATCAATACATGGATAGCAAGACATGGATGTCCAATGACATTTCAATCGGACAATGGAAGGGCTTTTGTAGGAGAACTTACTATGGAGCTCATGAGACATACTCAAGTAGCTCCGGCTGATTCCACGACGTATCATCGTCGAACGAACGGCTCAGTTGAAAGACAAAATCGAAATCTGGTGTCGATGTTGAGGGTGTGTTGTTCCAATATTGGACTGACTGGGATAGATAACTGCCACAAGTGATGGGAGCTTATAAGAGTACGCAGCATTCCACCACAGGAATTAGTCCACACATGAATTTGACTCAACATGAGAGTATGAAAGAAAGAAAAAATCGCCACAAGTCAGTGTAGGGATGTAATCAGACGCCAGCAAGAGATGAACGATTTATGTAGACGCAATACGCAACTAGCTCAGGCGAGGCAGAAGAAAAGGTTTGACGAGAAAACAGCTGGTGTAAAAGCTTAATCGATAGGAGACTACGTGTGGGTTTTTCAGAAATTATATAACACCGAAAGGAACGAAGAAACTCCCGAAGAGGTGGAGGGGACCATTCTTGATAACGGAAGTGCGTCAGTAGGGACGTTTTCACAGACTAAATACCGGCCGAGCCGCGCACTTTAAAAAATTCAAACCACACAATTCATCCACAGAGGACTGGTGTATACCTGAGGTCAAGGAGGAGGGCGATTACTTGATGTGGAACCTGCTTGCGAAGTAAATGAGAAAGGCACCAGGGAAAAGATCGATGGGAATGAGGTGCTGGAAGAAGAAACAAGTCCGCCGCTAATGGATCCTAATGAAGTAATGGAGGCGGATGATGAAACCTTATCCTATGCGGAAGAGGATTGGGAAAAACCCGAGCAGATAGAAGTTCCCAAGAGCATTGAACCGGATCTACCCTTTTCAATGCAGACAAGACAAAGTGACAAGACAAAATAATCCTTACAGAGACGACTTCGTAGTAGACACGATAGACCTGAAAAAAATAGTGGAAGACCTTGTGGGCCTAGAAGAGATACCCGCGTCACAGGAGTTAGGCATTGTCGAAGATCAAGAAAAGGAATGGATCGACGATCGGTCTAAACTTGAAGTGGAATTTGACGACGAGCAGCATACTTCATACGAACAAGAATTAACGAACCTGCGCGTCGTGGAGTGGTTGAACGAAATGACCTCTGATCCAAAGGAAACCAGCGTCACGATTCAGGACGTAGACCGAGAGAGCAGGAAAAACAAAAAAATGACAAAGATGCTCCTTCCTGGGCAGCCCAGGAAGGGCAATTGCTCATTCTTGCGTCCAACATTAACTTAATATCCGGTATGATATCGATGGAAGTTATTGTCCGCGGCGTGCTGGTAGGACTTAACCACATGGCTAAATTATTAATAAAAAATTAGAAGTTGCATGAGAAACAGGCGACCTAAAGGCAGAAATAGATGAAGGAACCAGACATAGGAAGAGTAATAGAGTCATATTTTAACTTGCCAAATGAAAAGTCAAATAGCATAATACCAACAGATAGCGATTTCATACTTGCAGATAGAACGTGTGCGATAGCTATCACCGCGGACATGAGTTTTAGAACAGCGTTAGCAGCTGACTTTAAGAGACAATACAAAAACATAGAATTTTTGTGGAGGCAAAGACCAGGAGGTGTAGCAACTTTACCACCGGCAGCTTCGCGAATACCAGGAAAATACTTATGCTTCTTGGTGACGAGGGCGACGGAAAAGCAGCACGTGGACCCTGAAAATTTGGTTCTGTCCGTGACAAGGCTAAGAGAATAGATTCACCTAAGTTTGGACTGTCCACTCTTGGATCAATTTCCGAGATTATAGACTGAATTGATTTTTAATATATCCTAAGATTAAAATCTTCTCATCTGATACTTTTTAAATCTGTTTTAATATGAATTGGTAGCAATGTTGACAGATGTGATAGTCGATACCTTATTTCTAGATCCTGGTTCATCAATTTAATCTTTGAACTTCAACCTTGTGAAATCAACTTATCGAATTCAATAACCAAAATAGACAATTTCGACGAACTGATGGATTTGGCCGAGGCATTCTTAGGGCCAGTCATAGACAAGCTTTATCGTTGGCTGCTGGAAAGAGATGGTGGTGGCCATGTTAACGACTGCTCTGAACAACAACCTAGGGTTTGGATCGCCCAATTCTGCATATTATGCGGTGGAGAAATGGAGCTCTCTCCGGAAGCGACTTGGCTAACGAACCCGGTGACTGTTTGAGGATTGCAACAAGAAATAAGGAGAGGAGATAGAACGATTGAGGCAGGAATATAAGGAGCAATCGGAACGATCAGGATTAGCGTCAATAGAACGATCATTACACGCAGGGAGTGTTCCTCGCGGGCAGTTCCCGATGAAGCTTCTGACACCTCGCGAACTAAGTCAGACAACAGAAGTGCAAATACCAACAGCACCCGATAGAATGACGATCCCATATTTAAGTGACACCCTGGGTGATCCAATAGTTGAAAGAACCATGCATCAGCAAGTGAAATCCGCTGGCCGACTGGTGTGCCAGGTTCCGGGGTGACTGCACCCTATGGAACAATCGATGATACCGGCAGAGTAGAGCTCTTCTCAGAAGTAGTAGAGAAAACAGGAGCTGCTACAGTAACAAAGTTAGCAAAAACCACGAAAACCTCCGACAGGAAGATAAGGGAGATGCCAATGAAGAAAGTGTTGAATGTATTTGACATACAGACGATTAATAAAAAAACAGCTTCACAGGGGTCCCAGATACGGACATGCGAGCATGTTTCAATCGATCAACCTGGAGTCAGCGGTGAACAAGCAGCAACCACCCCTTGGAACGTCGCATCTGATTTTGGGCGATAGTTTGGTGAGTTTGGCAAAATTTGAGAACCTCATGGATCACTACGGTGATGGCATTCGGAGGTACCAGAGTAGCCCAGCTGTATCGGATGGTGGAGTTGATGAACCCAGGCAGAATCTCGGACATAATGATTCTAAGCTCGGATTCAGAAGAAGCCCAATAGGAGCAACTGTGGAAAAAGTTTCAGCGGGCGGTACTGATTGTTTGTAGCATACCGATGAGCACGAGAACGCAGTCATTCACAGGTAGAAGGCACAATGAAAGAGTCATGAGGTGGAACAACATAGTGTGTAATCTGGTAAGTCGCATTGCTGGACGAATGATCTTGATGGACTTGTAGCGTGAGCTGAGGGCTCTGGATCAGGCCAGATTCACCACTGTGCACTGATGGAATACACTTCGACAGTATAGAAGGACAAGGCTAGATGAACCGCGTCTTCCAGGAGCAACTAGATGAATTGAAAATTGAACTATTCGACACTGGAGCACTCAAAACGGAAGAAGTGACGAACATACCGGCAAGTTCGACCTTTTTTCCTCCTAATCTGGAGACATGCTTGGGATGACAAAACCTATGGATGAGTTTCCGCGTGGTGAAGAACCTGGACAATTCGGATCAGTTCATTTTGGGGCGCGATATTGTCAGGAACTCCGACGTGATGATCGGCCTTATAAAATGACTGATAAGGATTAGAAAACCAGATTGGAAGTATATTAAGCGACCAGTAAGAAGAATAATAACTGAGGAGCACAAGATACCAAAATTTCAGACAGAAATGTAAAACTACAGCCCAGGCAGGCAGTAGTAGCAATTTTCAGGATAAAAAATTTGAAATCATTGAGTGATAGTAAGCAAGTTAGCTCGGTACCCAACCCAACCAGTCAAAGTTCACTGGTTTTAGGCCGAAATTTTTTCCGTCACTCAAAATGGGCTGTGTGTGAGTAAATTGTTGAATACACCGGACACAACGGTTTAAATCCAGCGAGGAAGGAAACTTGGCTACGCTTTACTAATGAGGACGGACTATGAAGAAACGCCAAACATGAAGTAGCATCGAGTATAAGACTGTCCAGATCTGCTTTTAAAAAGAATCAATGAAATGAAATCTTTAAACAAACTAATTTCAATGAGTTCCGAAACGGATGATACCTGTCGAGTAGCTCGAATTTTCCGGATCGCCTATCATCATACAAATTAGAATCTGACAAACCAGTTTTGCCAGAGAAAGAGCAATTTAAAGGTAAAGACAGGTGAAGGAGAGTTTGAGTTGCCAAGGGCAGTTTTAAATCGGAACGCAGAAGTTTTTTTTTTCAAAACATAAGGCGGATATTTGTTGTTGTTTTTTGTCATGCATCAAATTGAACAAGAAAAAAGCGAACTGTTGAACTAGAATTGAACTAGAAACAGAAATGCTGCTCGAATACGATATGATAAAACCCTCAAAGTCACCTCGCGCTCGTGGGGTTGCCATGGCTAAAAAGAAAGGGAGACAGCTAAGATTATGTTGCGACTTTCGGTACCTGAAACCACGTATAGACAAGAGCCTCTCGAAAATTTGTGATGCCAAGTTTTCACTACATTGGACCTGGATTCTGCTTTCTGGCAGGTTCCTATGCGAAAGAAGGACAGAAAAAGACTGAATTTGCATGTGAATTGTGCTTCTACCAATGGAAGACAAAAATCTTACGGCTTGTGCAAAACCACGGCGACCTTTCAAAGACTGATGACGTAGTGATAGCGACACCCACCTTGACAGACCACATTGACAGACTTGATGAGGTCTTCGACTACATAAAGAGAGCTGATTTGAAATTCAAACCAACGAAATGTGAGATCCTTAGGGACTCATTAAAGTACCTGTGAAGAATGGTAGACACGCATGGCGTGAGGCCGGATCCGGATGCGGTGGAGGCCGTGTTGAGATGGAAGGCCCTCAGGACAAACACGCAGCTTATGAGCTATCTAGATTTTGCGAATTTCTACCGAGAGTTCATTGAAGGACACGCAGACAAAATTTACCCGATGCAGCAACTGATGCGTAACAAAGGGAAGAAGTTCGAATGGAATGAAAGAGCTCAGGAAGCCTTCGAGAAAATAAAGAGGGTGTTTTGCGTAGCGCCACTACTAGGCATGCCAACAGAGAAAAGTATGTGCGTTCTCGACACTGATGCTTCAGTGGTAGCCTTTTCAGAAATACTGCATCAAGAGCAAGAATGGAATGGGAGAACAGTTCTCCGTCACATTGCAAATGGCAGTAAGGTGTTGAGCGACACTCAAATGAAATACGGTGCACCAAAAGTTGAAATGTTTGCGGTGGTCACATTCGTGAAGAAGTTTTGCGCATACTTAGGGATCGCTTCCTTTAAGTTGCGTGTGGATAACCGAGCCCTATCCTGATTGAAGACGTACTCGATGGACCAGAGTTATATTGAATAGTCAGGTTGGATGGCTACCATATGAGAATCGAGCACAGGATGCGTGACTAGCACCAAAATGCTGTCAGTCTCAGTAAGAAAACTGAAGTTTTAGTAGAAAGATTGGAGCAGACGCAGAACAATCAGGCAGAAATCAAGCAAGTATTCCCGTTTTTGGTTAAATAGACTAACGAAGCACTTTCATTGAAGAGATGGTTGGATAAGTCAGGACATCCAATTCCGAAACACCCTGAACTACTAGTTGAGAAAGCGGCAGAAATTATGATCTTATCCAAAAGGGACTCGGTGCCCTTGGAACTGTTGCTGCATTCAAACCTGGTCTAACAGAAACTCACTCGTTTGAACATAAAAAGCCTCTCAATGCTGGATAAAACGGTGCATGTCACACCAGAAGTGATGCAGATGCTGGATGGATTGTTAGAAAGAGAAGTGACTAGAGATGACCCTGATTTGGCAGCAGCCGTGGCATCGCTGACATTGAGTGATAAGGTACGGATAAAACCATCACGAAGCCAGCACAAAGAAAATGAAAAGGATTGTAGGACAGTAGTTCAGCAACTAATATCCTCAATTTCTCAAAGCGTTTTGATGAGAACATGATACAAGGAAAGAGAATAGGATATCGGGACTCAGATATAGACTCTCACATTTGAGGAGCCCAATCAGGAATCGATAGAAGCCGAATCGAAAACCCGGAACAAGTGAGTTTGTCCGGGGTGTCGGACGTTGAAGAAAGTGGACACGTAGATGGTCAAGACCAGGTGGACAAAGTTTTGTCCGGGGAGTTTAGGTGGATGAGCAGATCGTGCACATCAGAATCTGCCTTAGAAACATGTACCACGACAGACTCATCTCTCGATAACACCTCAAAGAAATAGAACCTACTCAGACAAGAACTCGAGCACGGGATCAGAATTGTCAGATTTGGCAATCCACCTATTGCTGGTGGAAACTCAAGCAAGAGACTTGGGCAGGGAAGTGTATCAAGACCCTGATAGTGATCGCCACTGTTCCCTAGTGAGAAAGTCATTGATAACGCGGCAGATGACCTGTAGATGATAGCCGTATCAAAACGTTCGATGAGCCTTTTACCACAGAAGGAGTCAGTCAGGACTGATCTTCAACCGCTCAAACAAGAGACAAAGCCATTGGCAAAAATTTGGTGTGTTAAGATAGAAGATGACACGCATCAGCCCGATGAGCAAAACAGTCACTTGAGGGTCATAAAGACATACTGGAAGCCGAGATACAGACTCTCGGACGTACTAAGAGCGCAGAGAAATGACCTCATGACAAGTAATGGAAAAGGTGGATCGGAAACGGGGTACCAGACAAAGGACATCTGGAAGAGGATAGTTACACAATCTTGAGACAATACTATATGCAGAAAGAGAGAAGGTTGTATCTGAACAAGGATGGGATCATTGCTTGCAAAAAAAGAGAGTAGGAAGGTCCTGTACAAGTCCTGTACAAGTTTGATGCCGCAACTCTATCAAACAGAACTTTTATTCAGGTCACATGATCAGATGGGCCACCAAGGAATCGATAAAGTATACGAGAGGACCTTGAAACGCTTTGAATGACCTGGAATGAAAAAGGCATACAAGAAGTGGGTGACAGCATGTCTGTAATGCCAACAGATCCTAGGAAGTTACGATTCCCATTGTAGTCAATCGAGTCGTCCGAGTTCAATGAGGTGGTACAGATCGATCACCAGAAGATATGTATGACAGACAGTGGCTACAATCAGGTTCTAGTGATGATCGATCACTTCACAAAGTATGCAGAGGCAGTACCCTGCATATCTGCCCCAGCCGAAGAGACATGCAATCATTTCATCAATACATGGATAGCAAGACATGGATGTCCAATGACATTTCAATCGGACAATGGAAGGGCTTTTGTAGGAGAACTTACTATGGAGCTCATGAGACATACTCAAGTAGCTCCGGCTGATTCCACGACGTATCATCGTCGAACGAACGGCTCAGTTGAAAGACAAAATCGAAATCTGGTGTCGATGTTGAGGGTGTGTTGTTCCGATATTGGACTGACTGGGATAGATAACTGCCACAAGTGATGGGAGCTTATAAGAGTAGGCAGCATTCCACCACAGGAATTAGTCCGCACATGAAGTTCATTCAACATGTGAGAAAGAAAAAACCGCCACAAGTCCATGTAAGGGATGTAATTAGACGCCAGCAAGAGATGAACGATTTATGTAGACGCAATACGCAACAAGCTCAAGCGAGGCAGAAGAAAAGGTTTCACAAGAAAACAGCTGGTGTAAAAGCTTACTCGGTAGGAGACTACGTGTGGGTTTTTCAGAAATTATATACCACCGAAAGGAACGAAGAAACTCCTGAAGAGGTGGAGGGGACCATTCATGATAACCGAAGTGCGTCAGGAGGGACGTTTTCACATACTAAATACCGGCCGAGCTGCGCACTTTAAAAAATTCAAACCACACAATTCATCCACAGAGGACTGTTGTATACCTGAGGAAAAGGAGGAGGGTGATTACTTGATTTGGAACCTGCTTGCGAAGTAAATGAGAAAGGCACCAGGGAAAAGATCGATGCGAATGAGGTGCTGGAAGAAGAAACAAGTCCGCCGCTGAGACAGGATAGATCTGAAAAATATAGTGGAAGACCTAATGGGCCTAGAAGAGATACCCGAGTCACAGGAGTTAGGCATGGTCGAAGATTAAGAAAAGGAATGGATCGACGATCGGTCTAAATTTGAAGTGGAATTTGACGACGAGCAGCATTAGTCGTACGAAAAAGAAGTAACGAACCTGCGCGTCGTGGAGTGGTTGAACGAAATGACCTCAGATCCAAAGGAAATCAGCGTCATGATTCAGGACGTAGACCGCGAGAGCAGGAAATACAAAAAAATGACAAAGATGCTCTTTCCAGGAAGGGTAATTGCTCATTCCTACGTCCAACCTTAACTTAATATCCGGTTTGAGATCGACGGGATGTCGATGGAAGTTATTGTCCGCGGCGTGGTGGTAGGACTTACCCACATGGCTAAAATATTAATAAAAAACTAGAAGTTGCATGAGAAACAGGCGACCTAAAGGCAGAAATAGATGAGGGAACCAGACATAGGAAGAGTGATAGAGTCATATTTTAACTTGCCAAATGAAAAGTCAAATAGCATAATACCAACAGAGAGCGATTTCATACTTGCAGATAGGACATGTGCGATAGCTATCACCGCGGACATGAGTTTTAGAACAGCGTTAGTAGCTGACTTTAAGAGACAATACAAAAGCATAGAGTTTTTTTGGAAGCAAAGACCAGGAGGTGTAGCAACTTTACCACCGGCAGCTTCGCGAATACCAAGAAAGTACTTATGCTTCTTGGTGACGAAGGCGACGGAAAAGCAGCACGTGGACCCTGAAAATTTGGTTCTGTCCGTGACAAGGCTAAGAGAATAGATTCACCTAAGTTGGGACTGTCCACTCTTGGATCAATTTCCAAGATTATAGACTGAATTGATTTTTATTATATCCTAAGATTAAAATCTTCTCATCTGACCGTTTTTAAATCAGTTTTTAATATGAATTGGGAGCAATGTTGACAAATATGATAGTCGTTACCTTATTTCTAGATCCTGGTTCATCAATTTAATCTTTGAACTTCAACCTTGTGAAATCAACTTATCGAATTCAATAATCAAAATAGAAAATTTCGACGAACTGATGGATTTGGCCGAGGCATAGGTAGGGCCACTCATAGACGAGTTTTATCTTTGGCTGCTGGAAAGAGATGGTGGTGGCCATGGTAATGACTGCTCTGAACAACGTCTTAGGGCTTGGAAACCGTGGGGACCACCCCATGGATGTCTTGCTGATGGCGGCTTGGGGGCGAGCAAGAAGTGCTGGATCGACCAAGTATGCGTGTTATGCGGTGGAGAAAAGTAGCTCTCTCGGGAAGCGACTTGGCTTACAAACCCAGTGTGGGTACTACGAGGACGTACCAGCCTGGAGAGATGCTCTTCCAGCCAGGCCTAGGCCCGGTCTGAGGAGTAGACATCAAGCTTTTCATCAGGAAATGATTAGCGAGGCTGCCTCGTCTAGCTCAAAGTTGAAAGCTGCGGTGCCTGCCAAGAGACCCATAGTGGAAGAAGAAGTGCAGACGGACGAAACAATGGAACATATGAACGAGACGAAAGACGAAATAGATTGAGTGAAAAAAAACCTTTCTCAGAATTGAAAAAGATAGAGATATGTGGAGGAGACTGTTTGAGGATTGCAACAAGAAATAAGGAGAGGAGATAGAACGATTGAGGCAGGAATATAAGGAGCAATCGGAACGATCAGGTTTAGCGTCAGTAGAACGATCATTACACGCAGGGAGTGTTCCTCGCGGGCAGTTCCCGATGAAGCTTCTGACACCTCGCGAACTAAGTCAGACAACAGAAGTGCAAATCCCAACAGCACCCGATAGAATGACGATCCCATATTTAAGTGACACCCTGGGTGATCCAATAGTTGAAAGAACCATGCATCAGCAAGTGAAATCCGCTGGCCGACTGGTGTGCCAGGTTCCGGGGTGACTGCACCCTATGGAACAATCGATGATACCGGCAGAGTAGAGCTCTCCTCAGAAGTAGTAGAGAAAACAGGAGCTGCTACAGTAACAAAGTTAGCAAAAACCACGAAAACCTCCGATAGGAAGATTAGGGAGATGCCAATGAAGAAAGTGTCGAGTGTATTTGACATACAGACGATTAATAAAAAAACAGCTTCACAGGGGTCCTAGATACGGACATGCGAGCATGTTTCAATCTATCAACCTGGAGTCAGCGGTGAACAAGCAGCAATCACCCCTTGGAACGTCGCATCTGAATTTAGGCGATAAATTGGTGAGAGTTTGGCAAACCTTGAGAACCTCATGGATCACTACGGTGATGGCATTCGGAGGTACCAGAGTAGCCCAGCTGTATCGGATGGTGGAGTGATGAACCCAGGCAGAATCGCGGATATAATGATTCTAAGCTCGGATTCAGAAGAAGCCCAATGGGAGCAAATGTGGAAAAAGTTTCAGTGCGCGGTACTGATCGTTTGCACCATACCGATGAGCACGAGAACGCAGTCATCCACAGGTAGAAGGCACAATGGAAGAGTCATGAGGTGGAACAACATAGTGCGTAATCTGGTAAGTCGCATTGCTGGACGAATGATCTTGATGGACTTGGAGCATGAGCTGAGGGCTCTGGATCAGGCCAGATTCACCACTGTACACTGATGGAATACACTTTGACAGTATAGAAGGACAAGGCTAGATGAACCGCGTCTTTCAGGAGCATTTAGATGGGTTGGAAATTGAACTATTCGACACTGGAGCACTCATAACGGAAGAAGTGACAAACATACCGGCAAGTTCGACCTTTTTTCCTCCTAATCTGGAGACACGCTCGGTATAACAAAATCTATGGATGAGTTTCCGCGTGGTGAAGAACCTGGACAATTCGGATATGTTCATTTTGGGGCGCGAATATGTCAGGAACTCCGACGTGATGATCGGCCTTATAAATGGACTGATAAGGATTAGAAAACCAGATTGGAAGTATATTAAGCGACCAGTAAGAAAAATAATAACTGAAGAGCACAAGATACCAAATTTTTAGACAGAAATGTAAAATTACAGCCCAGGCAGGCAGTAGAAGCAATTTTCAGGATAAGAAGTTTAAACTCATTGAGTGATAGTAAGCAAGTTTGCTCGGTACCCAACCCAACCAGTCAAAGTTCACTGGTTTTAGGCCGGAGCTTTTCCGTCACTCAAAATGGGCTGTGTGTGAGTAAATTGTTGAATACACCGGACACAATGGTTTCAATCCAGCGAGGAAGGAAACTTGGCTACGCTTTACTAATGAGGACGGACTATGAAGAAACGCCAAACATGAAATAGCAACGAGGAAAAGACTGCCCAACTCATGCAAATAAAGATCGGGTTTTAAAAAGGATCAATGAAATGAAATCTTTAAACAAAATAATTTCAATGAGTTCCGAAACGGATGATACCTGTCGAGTAGCTCGAATTTTCCGGAACGCCCATCCTCATACGAATTAGAATCTGACAAACCAGTTTTGCCAGAGAAAGAGCAACTTAAAGGTAAGACAGGTGAAGGAGAGTTCGAGTTGCCAAGGGCAGTTTTAAATCGGAACGCAGACGTTTTTTTTTCTTCAAAGCATAGGGCGGATATTTGTTGTTGTTTTTTGTCAAGCATCAAATTGAATTAGAAGAAAGCGAACTATTGAACTAGAACTGAACTAGAAACAGAAATGCTGCTCGAGTACGATATGATAAAACCATCAAAGTCACCTTGCGCTCGTGGGGTTGTCATGGCTAAAAAGAAA